GGAGAATATTTGCTATACGACCCCAGCTCATTTTGGGTGTCATTTGACCTGCCTATATAAGGATAAGTATTACTTTTTACATCATATCATATCATACCTTAGAGAACTCTTAGGGAGGAAGAAAAGAAGAGGATGAGACTAGAGACACCATTGGAAACTCTTCATCAACCAAGGAGCAGATTTCTTCCATGGAGCTTGCCCTTGAGGGTTGGAAGACATCATCCATGAGTGGCTAGACATCCTCTTGGGGCTAAAGTTAGCCCTAAGCATGCTTTCTACTTCTTGATTTATGTATTTTTGAGGGGATTTGTATTATGATTCATGTCTTTGCACTTTTATATATATAGATCTTGTTTATTCAATGATTTATGTGGTTTAATGCTTCCAATTGATCATTTCACTCTATCCATATGTCTATGTATGTTAGAATAGATGTTCATGTGTTTGTCTCTATTTCTTGTGTTATTGATGCATGTCTATGTGTATTGATGTTATAGATCTAGAGATTGTCAAGACATAGTGTTTAATGTCATGTTCTTGTAGTTTATTTGATGGTTCATACTCATTGCTTGATGAATTGTACCTCTTCCATAGTTAAATTAGTTTAATTTCATGTCATTAGCTTAGTTGTAGAGTAGTTGTTAAATAAGAGGACAATCCATGCTTGTTGTTGATGTTTCATACTTATGAAAAGAAAGTAACATGTATCTCTAACCTTGTGATGTGTTTGGATTGTGAGCTTAAAAAAAGGATTAATGGTTTAATTTGATATGTTGTGCTATCCACCATGTTGTTTAGACAATATATGCTTAATTTGTCATCCATGCTTGTTGAAACAACCACACACACACACACTTTGTTGTAATACATGTTCTTCCCCTCATTAATCATTCATTAAAGGTGTAGAAAAGCTATGCTTAGCAGTGATCTCTAAACCCCAATATCTCTCTCTCTATTGCATTATTATTTACTTTAGTTTAATTTGCATCTAGTGTAATCCAACTAACCAACCACTACTTTGATCACTCGACCTACTAACCCTAATCTTGATTCCTCAACCTAGTTCGACAACTCAATCCCTTGGGGCGATCCCTTCTCACTCATACTACATAGTATAGGTGTTAAGCGGTTTATAAATTTAAATTATGGTGCCCACTTGATACTAATTTCCAAACTCAAAATTTTGTGCATTGTTTTGTGCACCACTCGAGAAGACAACATGGTTTTTGGCGCCATTGCCGGGGATTAATTGATTGGCAACGTCGTATTTGTGGAATCAATTAGGAATTAGTACTCTTTTGATCGTGTCTTTACTTTGTTTTCAATTTTTGTTACTTATTGTGTTTGTTCTTGATTGACAAGGAGCATTGGGCTAAGAAAGTGAGCAAAGGAGTATTCCAAGCAAAAGAGCTAAGCAAGCAAAGGAAAAATGCTAAAATCTAAAAAATTGTTAAGCTAAGCTATAAATTTGGAGTTGAAGTGCTAAAGGACCTTTGTGAGCTTTTTCTTACTCAAACTCTTAGTTAAATCGTCGGCCTGCGTGGAGGCTTGTATTTCAATTCTTAGATAAATCGTGAGCCCGCGTGGAGGCAATTTACTTTTCTTGCATATTGTTTAAGCATGGGAGTATGAGAACATGGAATGTGGAGGAAGTTTATTGATTGTTGATTTTTTGTGAAGATAAAGTGTTTGTTGTTATTGCTTGTTGTGTTGCATTGTGCATGCATGGTCGTAGATCATTGAGACCCACTCTTGTCCCTTTAAATTTTCATCGTGAATCCATTGTTCGAAACCCTAGGGGAAGAGGTAGTTCTAGTCAATCCATTTCATCAATGGAAGGACACAATGAGGACCATGTGGAGGACCTTGGTCACATAGACCAACAAGGTATCCTGCACCCCAATGTGCATCATGATAACATGCAAGTTCTATTAGGCATGCCAAAGCCATATGTTCATCCACCACAACAACAAGGCCAAGTTCCATTAGGAATGCCAAGGCCAATCTATGCTCCACCACCTCCCATCATTCAAGGCAACCAAGGTGCCCATGTTGCACCTCCAATTGCTAATCCTCCCCTTGCTTTAAGAGATCACTATGTGCCTAATAAATATAATGCACCCACATGCATTCAATTGCCGCCATTTAGAGCACACCACTATGAAATCAAGCCACAAACCATTCAAATGCTTCCTAATTATCATGGACTTCCAAGTGAAGAACCTTACAAGCATTTAGATGAGTTTCTTGAAGTATGTTCCACCATAAAATATACGAACATGCCGGAAGAGGTCTTAAGGCTTAAACTTTTTCCATTCACCCTTAAAGACAAGGCAAAATATTGGTTTAACAATCTTAGGCCTTTTTCAATAACTTCTTGGGCAGAAATGTAACAAGAGTTCTTGAAGAAGTACTATCCGGTTTCTAAGACCAATGCCATGAGAACCTCAATTCGAGAATTTTCACATGGGGATGGAGAAACATTTCATGAGGCATGGGAACGCTTTAATGAATTGCTTAGGAAGTGGCCACATCATAACATGTCCAAATGGCAATTAGTTCAATATTTCTTTGAGAGCTTATCAGATAATTACAAGGGCATGGTTGATGCTTCCATGGGTGGCTCTTACATTGATAGGCATGAGGATGACGTGTGGCGTCTTTATGAGAGCATGAGTGAAAATTCTTTGCATCGTACTTTATCTTCGAAGAATGGTAGAAATTCTAGTGGTAGGAAGAGTGTTGGTTTACATCAAGTTGACCACTCCAATGAAATTGCCGCCGAAATGAAATTATTATCTCAAAGGTTTGATCAATTTTTTATCAACCAAAACTCGGCGAATCAAGTATCTTCCTTCCCTAACCATTCTCATCATGCATCTAATAAGTCATGTATGACTTGTTCAAGTGTTTTATATTCTACTTCCAATTGTCCCCATGGACATGTGCAAAGTGAGCATCATGAACAAGCAAATGTTGTTTTTACTAATCAAGGGATGTTTTGATTGATTGTTATGGAGAAGAAGTTGTTGATATGTTATTTATACCTTTACTTAAATTGGTGAACAATATTTGTAGGTCAATTGGAGAATGACTTCTCCATATTCTAATTATTTATGACCCTATACTAATGAGCAGACATACCACATATCATCAGAGATAATGAGAACCAATCCCAAAATTATAATTTATTTCAATCAGGCCTTATCATGAAAAATCATTCCTGAGCACACAAGTTTGTTGCATCCCACATCTAAAAGGATTTAGACTAAAAAAATATCATACTAAAACCTTTAAATTAACACTTCCCATGCCCTCTCTGGAGGGAAATTGCTTAGTTATATATGGCCGGTTCTATTGATCCATGGATAATTAACGTGTAAAAGACTTGTTAACATAGAACAGATGTTGAAAAAATATTCAGGTTAGTTGGACTTGGAAAACTTGCTACCATAACTTAGGTTACTTTGCTTATGAAAAATGTCTGAAACACTGGATGAAAAAACTTGCTACCAATGGAAGGGAAGTTTAGAAAAATGTCTAAAACACTGGATGAAAACAAGCTTTATGGGCATGCTGGAAATGTTAGGGGCACTTGAGAACTACACAAATAACAATAATAATAATCTTATATCATGGATGGTGACTAAAATCTTTTTTTTTTTTTTTTTTCATCACATGTCTTTCTTCCATCATCACCAAATAGCACCATTAACATTACACATATATAATTATGAAATAAAAAAAAAAAAAAATCAATTCAACTCATTAAAGAATTCTCCAATTAAATAATCAATAACTCAAATCTCATTACGTAAGTCTCCAATTTAAAATTAAAATACCCAATCTTAATAATTAAAAATCATGAAATAAATATAAATTTCAAACTCGTAAAAATTCGGGTTGTTACAGGGCTAGGTAACTCAACCACATTAGGGCGATCTCTCTAATCCCCTCTAGGCCTCACTAACGCCGCGGTCCCTAGGCAACTCCTAGGCGGCCGGGTTTTTCACAAAATCCTTTTCAAAATTCTTTCCCAAAATCCATTTCATTACAGAAACAGGGGAAGGAACACACACACACACACAAAAGTATTATCTATCATTTACAAAGAGCCATAAATATTTTAGGTCATGGAACTAGTTTCCTCCAACAATTAAGCTTGTGAAAGTGGGAGAGAAACTAAAATAAAAGTACTAAAAAAAAAAGAAGTTAGCTCACTAGCTTTTTTAGGTGCATAATCACTAGCTTTATTTATTTATTTTGAAGATCGACTTGTAAACAAAGATTGTATTAAAATGATGATTTCCAGATAAAAAATAAAAAAATTCGAATATAATTCATTAATAATTAGATTTAACTCAAACACATATGGTAGATGAAAATTTCATCTACATCTAAACCTATGATCTATATAGATTTGAGTGTTTTCAAGATATGTGGGAGTTCTTTGCCAGATCATCAATCTATCAAAATTTGAATTATTTTGGATTGTACCAATTGAATATATCCCCGTGTACCCCTAATTAATTTTCAAGTTTAGCTCCTCACCACTTGCTTCGTATCAATGTCAAATATTAATATAAACTATGATCTCACAAGTTATAAGTTTGACCAATGCATTTGATGATGGATCTTATTATATAAGTTTCTTAATTTCTGTATTCCATAATCAAGTGGGAGTCTTTCCATCTTAGGTTACTATCTTTATCACGTCAAGTAAGAACAGTTTTATAGACTTGCCCAAATTAATTAAGATAAGGAAGGGATTAATGTATTGATTAGAATTCTCTTTGTTGTTTGTTAATCTGTTAGTTTGTGACCTTTTTATGAAACAATTCCCTTCATATATAGTCATTCTTTTATTTATTTATTATTATTTTTATCCAGTAGGTATTACCAATGGACTTAGCTAATCAATCTCAATTATTAATCAATAATGTGAAGTATTATCTACCATTTTTCACACTAATTGTTACATCATTTGAGAATACAATGTCTCAACTTTCCTTCCAATATTCATCCATGTCTATAGGGCTTCTTCTCATTGAAGTAAAACTCGGTCGTCTCGGCATCTGCATACTTGTACTTTGACCCTCCAACATCAGCAACACGGATGACATTGTTGGTCTGTCAAATGCCATGTCCTGCACACACAACATCCCTACTTGTATGCATCTCAACACTTCATTTTGGCAACATGAATCTGCAATTTTAGGATCAATCATCTCCATTGCCTTATCACCATCCCATAAGTCCCATGCCTGAAACATTTCCAACATTTTGTCAAATTATACACATCAAAGAAAAGAAAAAAAAGAAAAGAAAAGAAAAGAAGATTTATGTATAGACTTACATATCCAATAATATTTGAGTGTTTGGGTAAACGAAAACTAGCGTTTCTTCGGCCGGTTATAATCTCTAGTATTAATACTCCAAAACTATACACATCAGACTTGACAGAAAATAGACCTTCCATTGCATACTCAGGAGCCATATAGCCGCTACATTTTACAAGTGATCATGGAATTCAAGTTAGCAAATCTTTGAGGATAAAAGAAAAAGACTGATTTTCTGTGTTGTAATTTGGCAATTAGTGTAATCTCATTCTTGAACTCCTCCAAGCCTTGTCCAGACTTTCTTGAAAGCCTCTTTACAGCTATTTCTTGTTCCCATGGCAACTTTCCCTGTTAAGCATTATAAAAGTTAGCAGCACTTTAGTGCATTCCAATACACAATTAACCTTCAATTTTTACCATTTTTTCATAGAAAATTAAAGAACACACCTTGTGGACAGGGCCAAATCCACCTTGTCCGATCTTGTTTTCATTTAAAAAATTGTTTGTAGCTAATGCCACGGTATTAAAATCGAGGAATGATAATTCTGCTCCGCTTACATGCTGCCCTTCAACTCTAAGGTCTTCCGGTCCAGAAAGATCTGTCGAAAGTTCCTCACTTCTGCGTGCATAAAGCATCAGTAACTCATTGTTCTTCTGCGATGGATTCAAGAATGCTGTAATGAAGAATCAACAATTAGCATAAACAGTCAAGATAATTAACAAAATAACAGTACAATTTTCATTTCACTTTCTAAAATTTACCTTTCAATTTTGCTCTGAACCTCCATAGTAGCCAAATGGAAACACTTAGAAAGAATGTGCCCACCACCACTATTGCTATTATTACAAATATGGATATTTTTCTCCCACCACCTATGTTAGAAGAGAAACAAATACAAAAGTCATTATATTGTTTATAATTGAACAATTAAAAGAATCAAAGAACTCTAGCTTGCTCCACAAGAAAGCAAAAACTATTTGAAAAGGTCAATTCATGAGAAATTTCTGATATTTAGATATCCTATTCTGCTAGAGTTCTAATCAAGTATATTCATGAGAAATTTCTGATATTTATCCTATTCTCCCTATAGGAGGTAAAAATATCTCTTAAATGTTAGAAATTCTAACAGCAGCAAAAAGTATATTCATGAGAAATTTCTGATATTTATCCTATTCTTCCTATAGGAGGTAGAATATGTCTTAAATGTCAGAAAGTCTAACGGCAACAAAAAATATTATATGATATAATGAAAATTCAAAATGCTAACAACAGCAATGACATATACAATTGAAAGTTTCATCTTACCTAATTCAGAATTCGCGAGATGAATGTAGAGCGTGTTCCCACCATCTGCAAATTGCTGAAGATCAACAAAATCCCCACTCCACATCATGCAGCTGATCCTACTTATTTACATATGCATATGCTTTACATGAACAATTGTTCAGACACATATCTCTGCCAGCATTGATATCATCTGATCCCACGTAGTCCACGAAGTCCGGTAACTTCCCCTCAACCTTTACAAATCTATCTTCTTCCCCATTCCCTCCCTCAACTAGGCTGTTATTCCTCTCACACTGCAATTGTGTCCTCCTAACACACCCTCCTGACCAATCCCTCTATTCCACTGATCCAAGTCTTTTGCTACAAACCGTTCAATATGTACAACTTAAACTTCATTAAGATTTCAAATGGTAGATTAGTCACACAACTCACACATTAATCATCACACCGACAATGATTATACTTGAACAAATTTATCATCCATTTTGTTCATTTCCATTGACTTAGACCCAAACAATTAATCAAACTTATAAGTCAACATAACTTTACTATAATTTAGATAATCTAAGTGAGCACTCATGTCATGTGCATTACATAACTTGCCGCCCTTATTAGGGATCATATAAGAAAATTTAACTTAGTACAGAACAATATATAAAAGCTTAATTAAATGCTTTTTTTTTTTTGGTAGAAAATTGAAGAGAATAAGTCTATGCAATTAATTAAACACCATATTAATAAATACATGAAAGACATTGGCCACAAAAGATGTTTGTTCATAAAGATTTGCCCTTTTTGGACTAGACTAAGGGCTCCACAGACCGCCCATCCCATCTTTGCTTAATTAGAAAAACTTTTTGATCACATGAAACAAAAAATTCAATGGTTTCCACGTTTTATTCAATTCAGTAATAGTTACTTAACCAATTAGGTCAAAAAATATATTGTGTGTTTGCTTTTCAATCCAAAACAACAAAAAAAAATTTAAGCAAGCTGGATTGAGTTCGTGTTGATTTGTGTTACCCAAAACATCATTAAAAAAACATGTCAAAAATATTTTGATATAAATATTTCCTTGGAATGTGAGATTAGAAGTCTGAGCTCCACAATAGATATTTGTAAATGTGTATGAATACTTATTTGAAATTTGTTACACAATCGTTTCTCATATTAGACTTATTAGACGACTCAAATATTGTTGGTTTTTTATATCTCCAAACAACACATGATAGAATTGATTTAAAAAAAAACTCATAATGTTGCTCAATAAGATTTCAATTTCCAACAGGTTTGATGCTTGCAAATTTCTTTTTATTTAACTTAAAATATATATATTCACACACATTCATATATATATGTATATATATATCTCGAGTCATGTGAATGATCTGTGAATATATAAGTGAAGGCACAAACATTCATCACTCACCAATCAACATGCATGTGGGTTGCTTTGACAACACTAGTTTCTAGGAAAAAAACGAAAAGCAACAATTAAATTTGGTGTAATCAGTTTCACACAGTGAAGTTGAATATAAGTAAGAAAATATAGTAGTGTCATAGTGTGTACATAATGTTTAAAAACGATCTACATTCAAGCATTTTCTTTGACCTGAATTGAATGTTAGTAGATGAAGATCATACCCTTTGTAAATTTTAGAGAACGTGGACAATAAATAGTTTCTATGTTTGTTAGTACATATGGAAATTTATTGAGAAAGTCATGATACAAGTTTGAGACATTTCCATTGCAGCATGGGGTTTTCTTCCCAAAATTCAAAGCCCCTTGCCAAAAATTAGGTCTCTCTTTTGTTGCCTTTCCAACAAAGATTGAGCTTTGAAACTGACTTTTACAGTTTAAAAGATTGTGAGTTGTTAGTCACACAACTCACACATTAAAAGATTTTAGTCACCATCCATGATATAAGAAATTCTTAGCAAAATATTTGTGTTTGATTATAAATGATTATCTTGTTATTTTCCTTTTTTTATTAACATTTTGAATTTGAGACTTGTGTGATGCAGCTACTTTCTTGGATTTTGTACCGTGGATTTTGCAGCTACTTCCTTGGATTTTGTACAGTGAGGTGGTTTTTTGACAAGTGCAGACTGAAACTCAAGTGCTAGAAGGTTTATCAATTTTTCAACAGAATTGTTCAGAAATTGATGATTTTCTTGACAAATGGATTTACCTCTTGTTTTGGAATATTGATAAATGTTGAATTGTTTTGGCACATTGATAAATGATGAATTGTAAAAATGTTTTAACTCTTTTGATATATTTAATAGGATATGTATATTTTTTGAATTGAATTATAACTGAAAGTGATGTGAATTTTAGGTAGTGGGTGATTAACTGGCATTAATTAAGGGTGTTTTATTTATAAATATATATATATATATATATTATTTACGGGGAGTTTGAAATTCCGTAAATAAGTGAAAATCCTTCTAAATAACTTTTCTACGGCATACATGGCAAGTCGTGAGAATGGTTTATATTATTACGGATACCTAAATTTGTCATAGAAAAGTTTTCTACGGCATGCTCCAATGCCTCGTGAGATTATTTATGGGTAGTTAAAATTCACTTTAGAAAACTTTTTTACGGCATTATACTGTACCTCGTGAGATTATTTACGGGTAGTTATAACTCGCCGTAGAAACCTTTTCTCGGTACCTCATGAGATTATTTACGGGTAGTTACAATTCGCCGTAGAAAAGTTGAGCTTATTTACAGGTAATTATAATTCGCTGTAGAAAACTTTTCTCGGTACCTCGTGAGATTATTTATGAGTAGTTATAATTCGCCATAAAAAAGTCAAGATTATTTACGGGTAATTATAATTTGCCGTAGAAAACTTTTCTACGGTATGCTCCCGTGCCTCGTAAGTTAATTATTAACGGAAAAATATCCTTGCCGTAAATAAATTTAATATATAAATGAAATTATTTTCTACGGTGCATCTATTATTTTTTTACGAGATAAATTTTTTCTTGTAAAAAAAATTGAGTATTTTCGGAACCCTCATACACGAGGGCCTAGAATGTGCCGTGAATAGGTTTCCATGGCGTTTTTGGCCCCTCGTAGAAGCCCTTTTTTCTTGTAGTGAAATGAGATCAAATGGTTTGGTCATTTTCCAGCTATATCGGACTAAAGCTTTCCATTTATCTTCTTCGTCAAGGGAGTGAACGGTCTGAACTGAAGAGAGGTGGCGGGTGTCTAGGAATTGTTGTTTGACTTGACTATTGCGCAAGAAGAAGATTCAAAGGCAGAGGTTAAGGAATTTCTTACACAAACGTAGATCAGTTTCAAGATTTCATCATGTGGATTAAAGAAGTTAGCCATGGAAACTTTTTACTAGAAATATGAATTCTTCATAATATAATGCATAGCAATTCATTTGTAGCCATTGATACGGAGTTCGCAAGTTTTTTGCATGTCCCGTCAAGAAATGCATCCGAAGAAGAATAGTACCATGATCTCAAGTATATTACCGATCATATGATCGAGGTTGACACAAATATGGATTACATTACTTGACAACGATGGAAATATAGGAGGTACGTGGCAATTTAATTTTAGAAAGAGCCCGGGTGTCAGTTTCAAGAAGAATCAGCGCGGAGGATTGAATTTGGAAGGAGTTGACATGAATCTATTTGCAGCCACCTTCAGAAACTTTGTCCAATCCCATCATGGTATTCAGTGGATCACATTTCATGGATTATATGATATGGCTTCCATAGTCAAACTTGTAACCGGGAGTCCTATGCCAGATTCACCAGTGAAATTTTTTGAAAGACTTCGTAATAAACTCGGCCGTGTCTATGATGTGAAGTATATCGCCAAGTATTGTCGAGGGCTATTATGTGGAGAGATGGGTTTGGAAAGAATGGCAAACATGTTGGGAGTATGCCATTTAGGGATTGCACATCAAGCTAGTTCAGACAACTTATTGATGGCTCGTGTCTATTTGGAAATGAAGGAAGTATATCAGTAAATTGAGGAAAGATTTGAAGGCTTCTTGTATGGGGTCAGCACCAAGATCGAGATGAATTGTAAGCTAGTTATGATTGTTGTCCACCGCAATATCTCCAACATCTTACGCATTGCTCGCCATTTAATTCAATTTGTACAGGACTTGAGCAATTGTCTATATGTAATATATGATATAGATAGCGGGTTCTTTGTATATAATTGCTACAGGTTCATTTAATTGATCGATAAATCAATATTCTTGCATGTGTATGTCGTTTTGAAAAAATTTGTGATACTCTGAATTATTTGTATTCAATTGGAGATCATCAATAAAAATTTCATGCTTTTCCAATTTTAATTTTCTTTGTTGATTCTAAACTATAAAGTTGTGAAATTTGTTATATTCAATACATGAGATTTGTACAAAATTGAATATATATAAGACACTTTATTTTGCCTGATACTTGTTTAATTCACACCATATTATATTACTGGTTTAAATGACAACATCATGATATGTGAACTAATTTGATCTCAGTAAGCATCATAATATGTGAGCAAAATTATACGATATTCCCTTCATATTCATCATAAATATTATTATCTCAATTTTATTATTTTTTTTTATTTTTTATAGTTTTATATAATATATTACATATATTAAAACATTGAACCCAGAATAGGCCAATACTTAACTCAATGAGTGAATGTTCCTCTACTAGGCTAGTAATTACTCCGCGGCCCGCGACCCATTAGGACACTTCTTTTACTGGGCTAGTAGTAATAACTCCACCGCTTATATTAACCAAAAGCAGGCCTAATAGGACAACTCTGCCGCTCATAAGGACAGTGCCCAAACCACACCATCACCTATAGATAGATTTAGGTATTTTCCTAAAAGATATAGTGAGGGCTGCACTTCTCTGTACATTCCAAAACTACTTCTATATTACGGACATCACGTCCCTTACTTTTCTTTTCTTTGGATCATTCATAAACCTTCCTTCCATATTACATCTGCACTTCAGGGACTGGGCTTGGTTTGGTTGGCTTGTTATTCCCTATATATCTTGAGAGTTAAGTCATTTTCCCTATATATGAGATTAAACGGTTCGGTCATTTTT